CACATCAAGGGAACCTCCCTGTGTCTTTAGCATGAAAGTTGAGTGAAGTCGCCTTTTAACGAGAACGTAATGCCATGCGGGTTTGTTATTATCCTTACCTCGGACAAGATAAACCCTGACACCTTCATTTACTAGGGTGCGTGTCTCAAGCAAACCTGGATCTATCTGAAAGAGCTTCTCCAAGACGTCGATTTTCCCATCACTTGCTGCACAATGGAAACAGTTTTTGCCCTCGCTGTTCAAACCTTTAGGGTCCGCGCCACATTCGGAAATCATGTTTTCTAGCAAGCTGAGGTGACCCTTGGAAGCAGCACACCACAAAGCATGTGGGGTAAGCTTTGCTCCATTTTCTGCAAGAATTCTTACGATACCCCCAAAGTTGTGGAGAGAAGCTGCCTCCAGACTTGTACAGTAATTTTTTTCAGCTTTGTTGGGATCGCAGTTGTTCCTTGTCACGAGGTACCTCACCACATCTTCGTAGCCCATTCGAGAAGCTCTTCCGAGAGCAGTTTCACCGAAACCAGTCACGGCGTTGATGTTGGCACCGAGTTTTAGCAGGAGAACAACACCTTCTAAAAACCCAATCCCCGCAGCTATATGCAGAGGTTGAAGTTGAATATCGTCATCTGTAGCATCCCCAATGGCCGTCCTGTCCTGGTTGCAAATTTCTTCTATCTTATGAATTTGCTTCGCCCGCACCATTTTGTGTATATATTTAAGATTGGATTCAACTTTGTTACTATCCTTGATACTTTTTTCTGATTCTTCAAATTTTTTCTTCTCGACGATTTCGAGGGCTGTACAGCCGGTGAAGTCATTGTGGCCACTCACCTTTTGCCCCGAGAGGTGTCCCCAGTCGAAATGCCTCCAAAGGGTGTATATGGCCTCGTGGTTATTGTAGTAGGCTGCATGTTGAAGGACATTGAACCCTTGTTGATTTCTGTATTCCAGAGCCTTTTCTTGACTGACACTGCGCGCTACTATGTCCATCTGATAGCATGGGAAGTTCGGGTCAGCTATTTTGTCGAACATCATTTCTACTTCCTGAGATGATGAATCTGAAAACGGCAAACAACTATTCATTAATGAACCCCAACATAACTAAAGTGAAGCTTTGAGGTACGGATGGTGAGGCCATGGTTGAGGACTGGAGGTTGGATGTAAAGGGAACAGTGGGCATACAGGTTTTTTACAACCCGGGAAGCAACTTTAGGAAGGTAGGGGACAGATTTTCAAAAGAAGAAACCCGTTGAAAATAGTTAAGATACGTGGTGTAAACATGCTCACGTTTTTGATAAAAAGGTTGCAATATACATATACGGTATCAGGGCAATCCCCCCCCCCCCGGACAATCCCCCCTCAGGACAACTCCCCTCCCCGACAACCCCCTGTAATGAATTTAATAATGAAAATGAACAATATGATACTGAGAAAAACTATAAATGCCTGGCTTTAATCAAAATGTATCTCCAGGTAGGGGTGGGTAATCTCTCTCAGATAATCTCATTTATCAAAGTATTCCTTTGATCAACTAACTGAGACTTTGAATTGTTTTACCCCCCCCCCCCCTCTTCCCAGCCTTCATCACGTTGCCTGCCTTTAATCAAGGTGCACCTTTAATCAGGTAAAGTTGGGGTAAACAGATCATCTCCACGTGCACATCAAGGTATCCCTTTGATGTACTAGGCGGGCCGGGGATATTCCGGGGGGGGGGGGGGATTGTCAGGGAAGGAATGGCTAGAATCATATCGCTTGAACATAAGTGTATCAAGCTAGAGGTTAAGACTTGTATTCCAATAGAAAAAAGTGACAAAAAACAGTGTGAAAATGAGTAAATGGTCATCTTTTCTGAGATAATATTCTTGCTTTTTTTGTAACAGTTACCAATAGGTATATCGTACCTTTCTCAACCTTGGTGGCTGAACCAACTGCGCTGTTCTCTTCCATCATTGCACGCTTGGTGGTGGTCACTGAAAGCGAAGTCTCGTTAGTTTTAATTTATCCTACCAATAAATCGTTTTATTGGTTCAAGATAAAGATGACCATCTTTATCATGATCAACATTAATACTACTTCTGATTGTGCAAAGTTTCGGAGTAAAGGGAGTCTCTATATATTGTTCAAAATGCGTCACAGACTTCGCTCACAGGCGTATCTCATGTAAATGTGGGTGGAACTTTAAAACTTCAAGGTCGAGATTGTGCCTATTAACTGTGTCATATACCAGACAACTCCAATGTCACTAAAGCACTGCCACACTAAATGATTCTGATCACTAAATTGATATTCATAGCCAAACTTACCTCCTTTAAAAGAATTAAAACTGCTTCATTTACGCTCTTCGTTTTTTTATTTCCACTTGGCTAACATAAGGAAAATCCCCGATCTATTTTTAGCGATGATGACGTAGTTGTTTTGCATTGATTCTGGCCACCCTTTGTGTTTCTATGACCTAGTTTATTGATAACCCGGATTGATTTGTTTACACCTGTATTGAAAATTCACGAGTAACCACAAAAAAGTCTGAAATGAAAAGCATATTGGTACACTGCTAAAAGCTGTAACTGCATGAGGTTGACATTGCAATATTATTAGTCTCAGTACAGGTATTTTACGAACGATAGATCCACAGTAATAAATGCAGCTGACATTTCTGACTGGGATTTTATCGACACAGGGAGTACAATCACGCTGAGGCCATTGCCAAGACAATCAAATTGCCCCTGGGGCTTATTTTTTTAAGCCAGAGCGTTTTTCACATTCTTTGTTAAACTTTTTTTATAGCAAATTAAAATTCTTGGCTTTTTTTTTTACCGGTAAAGTCCTTTTTTCAGCTTACGTATTGTTGCGTGCATTTAAACAGGCCTATGTCAACTTCATGTATTTATGATGTTAAAGAGACCCGGAAACATATACACAAGGCACATGAAAGTGCTGTATGTTGGAAAAGTTTTTGTCAATATATAAAAAAATGTTTTCACAAATAACTTCAACAACATGATATATTGTTTACTAATGTTTCAAAGGCGGCATTGGATGTGTTTGCGTTAAGATGACTTAATTATAGGGGCCTAATTGTTTTCACTTATGCTTGTAAACAAATTTCAGTAGCAGGAAAGTTGGGTCTAATAGTCTATTGAATTAATATTTGATATTTTTCTACAAGAGAATTTGAAGAATTTACCTCTACCTGCCATTATATATAATTTATAAAGTGTTTGTAAAAAGTTGCTTAATTCACACCAGAAAATCGTTGCGGTTATTGCTCATACTACTTACCAGTACATTATTATACGTTTTTTTTTACATTGTACACGCTTCTATCGAACTTCCTGAAACAGCATTTTTGAAATATGTTCTAATTATGTAACATGATATTTGAGAAGATCAAAATCTCAAACCCTCTTTCTAGCCCCGGCGTTATACCGNGGGGGGGGGGGGGCACACTGTTATCTGTGAAATATCAGGCTTGTTGTATTATATTTTACATTAAGACATATTGGTTGACAGCTTGTACAAAATCTGCCATGAAATCAATTTACATTATTTCATTGCATGTTGTAATGTGCACTAAATATTTTTAAGATCATGCCCGTGACATCATTTGCATCTCTATTTTGGGTTTGGGTGACATTGCCTTTTTCTCTTGTTGGATGCTATGTGCACTAAGTATTTAAAATTTTATTTATATTCATATTACATAGTCATTCTTCAAAACAAAAAATCCAAGATAACTGATATTCCGATCTTCTCAGGTGTACCTGTTGACAAAACCCTATTTCTTATTTCTCTAGCTTAGAGACGCATTTTAAATCTGACACAGGTGGTAATTATGTGAGAATATTATACAAATGACTCAAACTATTTAAAGTCAATTTGCTTCCTTCCTGATTTATGTATATATAATGATCTTGTCTAAAGGGGTCGTTCAGTACATCAATATTTTAATGCCATTATCAAGTTCAAGTACACTTAAACTGGTTGTGGGAAGTGGGCCTGGGGAAGGGGGGTTAGGCCCTAGCCCCTACAGGGTTTTAATTCACAGTGGCGGAATTGGGGAGGGGTCAGGGGGTCCTCACCCCCCCCTCGACTTCTGAAAAAAATCACACCAATGGTTCCCTCTTGAAATAAGATTTTTGACGAACTAAATCCTTGTCCTCTAAAATACCAATAGTTTTCGGGGCCTTCGGCGGCCCCAGAACCTCAAGGCGGCCCCAGAACCTCAAAGGGGGAACGTCAAGGGGGTGGGGGTGGGGGGGGGGGGGCGAGGGTCGGCTTCGTATCCGCGGACCCCCCATTCAAATAATTCTGGGTCCGCCCCTGATTCAGTCATACGTGCAGGAACCAGGGGGTATGGAGCACTGCCCACTTCATTAATCCAAATGTAAATTGTAATATGCTATTAAAATGATACCCTAAAACAGTATGCTATAGAGATAAAAAAATCCCGATTGCTATATACTCGAGAACAACTTACACCTATCTCAGCTATATCATGATGCAAATAAGTTGCATGGATTATCATCAAGTCACTGTGGGGGCGGATCAAGTTAGGTATATTGTGAGACAATTAAATTTGCCTGAAAAGAGCAGATTCAACCAGTCTAGTAACAGAATGTACGTCAACACTGAAAACTCAGGACCATTGCTTTTCAAGACTACATGCATAAAATGAGCAGAAGTTCAAGTCCGTCACAATAATTTTCTCCAAACAACAGCATTTGTTGAAAATGAATTCGACTATCATATCTTTTTAGAAAATTTTATTATTGGTTATCTTACCTGTAATTGGTTTTTATGTGAGAATTGTGAGGCTGTTTTTTATCTTGAATCTTTACTTTTGTTTAATTATTTTTATATCTATACATCTTGGTTATTGTGTTCTGAAAGCCTAGATTACATTTGCCATGCGGCGTCCGTACGATCCACGTACATTGTACACTGCCCGTAAATCCCTTTTCGTGCGGCGTCTGAGCGGAGATAGAGGGTGGTCGTGGTCATGTTTGAACCTGTTGTTGGTCTTTTTTTCTTCCACCGGCACATCTGTAGTAAAGGTGCTTTAAACTAGTGTAAATCATTCTTCTAACATGAAATTGTGCGTTTTCTTATTCTGTCCACAAGTTGCTTAAAATCATAGGAATCTGCACCGACAACGTCGAGCTTCAAGAAAACCGCAAGGAAGGCGATTTCATGCTAATGTTAAATGTACATACATATTCTATAAAAATTCACAATAAGACAGAAACATTTATAACTGATTTAAGCATATTTTAGGCCTCTCTGTTTTTATTTTATGGATGGCATCCTCTCGGACCCCTAAACTAATGTATGAGGGTGAATAAAAAACAACCAAAATGTTACTGCTACAGTATAGGAATACACAACTGGAAACGCAAACTGCACCACTGAGCACAGTGTATCACTCAAACAATACGACTGATTTTTTACAGAACAGACAAAAATCAAAGCGCGCGCAGATGTCATCCATAAAATTAAAGGAGTGTGGCCTTATGTTAAATACCTTGTCAGTTGAGATTTTGGATGTAAATTTACATATCTGACGGATTACACGAAATGAAATCTAGACTGCTATTGTATTAATGGACCTTGTCGAAAAGTATATGATTTTAAACATTATAGGAATTTCCTTCTCATTGCTGCTGAAGGTAGGTCTCAAGTAGCCTCTGGAGAGAATCCCCAATGATGCGGTCCGACGTGTCATTTGGACGCGATGGGGTGACTTCCTCTGACAAGACCTCGTTTTCATTCCCATTCACATTACTGTCGTTCCCATTCTCCTCAACCTCGTTTTCACTGGTACTGGTGATATTGTTATTATCCGCGCTTTCTCCATCAGGGACAGCAGCTGGAGTTTCCGTGGAAGGCGTGGCAGCTTCAGGACTATCGTGAGGATCGACAGAGGGGGGCTGCGCCGATTCCTCTACTGCATCTACCTCTTTGGGGGCCAGATCGCTTAGATACAGCGTGGTATTATCCTTCAGGGTCTGGACTGGAAGGGAATTACAAGTTTAAATTTTATTCAAGTTGAATAAAGTTTTTAAAAAATGTGACGTGGTTATATGGACTGATTCGGTATAACCACAGCGACGCGTAAAGTAGAATATCGTTTGTGGCCAAAATAAAGGGAAAAAACCTTCGATAAACATTCAAAGCCTACATTCAGTAGTGCAATATAAGTTTTCGTTTTAAAATTGATTATATAAAAAAATCACCAAATTTACTTTTTTTTTAAATTAAAGACAGTAGAATACTTTTCCAATTGCAAACGAAAGGGGACTGTTTTAGCATACTGCATGGTTGTGCGAAATGAATTTGATTTTAAGACTTTTATTGATTTATTTTGTATCACCTTCATTCATCAACTGCTTTTGAAAATCCCTGGATGAGATGCTGTCGTCATCTGTCTTCTCCAACAACATCTGCAGAGTTTTCAGTTGGTCCAGAATGAACCTCTGGGAATGAAAATGCGCAGGTTGTTAAAATGTAAAAATTTATACACACGCCTAAATTGCAAAGTTTAGGAAAGGTTCCAAGATGGACCGTATGATTGAGATTTACCGATAAAATTTACTCATTGATATGGGATTTCGATTTTCAAGAAAACATTTTACGGGAATAATGTAGAAATATATGTGTACGAACTCACCGAAATGGATTTATTTTATACTATACGTTTTACTGGAATAAAGTTGTAGCCTATAAAGATTACATTTAATATGAATTTTTCCCTATTTTAAACTAACCTCCACTAAACCTGCACTTTCTTTCTTGGCCAACAACTCGACGACCTCTTTGTTGTTGTTATCCCGAGCAACATCGGAAGGACTTTTCCCGTCTTCGTCAAAGACTTGAAAGTTGGCACTGGCCTTCAAGAGTTCCTTAACGATAGGCATGTTTCCTCTCATGCATGCAAGATGAAGGGGCGTTAGCTTGTACGCATCACGGGCATCCACATCCGCTCCAAGTTCGACGAGCTTTTGGACCGCTGTTAGCTGCTCTTCCATTACTGCACAATGTAAGGGAGACATGTCCTTTTGGGCGTCCTCCTGTATTGTCGAGTGTTCCTCATCAATTTTGGTCTTGATATCTTCAGGTGGGTCTTGGCCCCAGCCGGATTTCAGTACACGCCCATAGTCGGCCACATCAAGGGAACCTCCCTGTGTCTTTAGAATGAAGGTTGAGTGAAGTCGCCTTTTAACGAGAACGTAATGCCATGCAGGTCTTTTTTTATCCTTACCTCGAACAAGATAAACCATATCACCTTCATATAATAGGCCAAGTGTCTCAATCAAGCTTGGATCTATCTGAAAGAGCTTCTCCAAAACGGCGATTTTCCCATCACTTGCTGCACTGTGGAAACAGTTTTTGCCCTTGCTGTTTACACGTTTGGGGTCCACCCCCCATTCAGAAAGCATGTTTTCTAGCAAGCTGAGGTGACCCTTAGAAGCAGCACAACACAAAGCATGTGGGGTGACTTGAGCTCCGTTTTCTGCAAGAATTCTGACGATACCACCAAAGTTGTGGAGTGCAGCAATTTCTACACTTGAAGTGCAATTTTTTTCGACTTTGTTGAGATCACAGTTGTTCCTTGTCACGAGGTACTTCACTACATTTTCGTAGCCCATTCGCGAAGCTCTTCTGAGAACAGTCTCACCGATAGCAGTCGTGGCGTTAATGTCGGCACCGAGTTTTAGCAGGAGAACAACACCATCCAAAAACCCAATCCCCGCAGCTATATGCAGAGGTTGAAGTTGATCAGCCTCACCTGTAATTTTACCGATGACCGTCCTGTCCTGATTGCAAATTTCTTCTATCTTATGAATTTCTCTCGCTCGTACCATTTTGTGTATATCTTTAAGGGTGGATTCAGCCTCCTTGAAATCTTTAATAATTTTTACCGATTGTTCAAACTTTTTCTTCTGGGCGATTTCGAGAGCTGTACAGCCGGCGAATTCATTGTGACCACTCGCTTTTTGCCCTGAGAGGTGCTCCCAGTTATAATGCCTCCAAATGGTGTACATGGCGGCGTGGTCATCCAAATAAGCAGCATATTGAAGGATATTGAAGCCTTGTTGGTTTCTGTATTCCATAACCTTTTCGTAACTGACATCGCGTGCTGCTATGTCCATCTGATAGTACGGGAAGTTCGGGTCAGCTATTTTGTCGAACAGCATTTCTACTTCCCGAGATGATGAATCTGAAAACGGCAAACAACTAGTCAACCCCAACAAAACCAAACTGAAAATGCATTCCTGATAGTATTTCTTGATATTATTTCTACACTACCCCTTGACATAAATAAACAATATTCGAAACTTATTTTCTTTCACTTTGAGGTACGGATGGTGAGGCCATGGTTGAGGCCTCTAGGTTGAATGTTCTTTTTTTTTCCTACTACCCGGGAAGCAACTTTAGGAAGGTAGGGGACACATTTTCAAAAGAAGAAACCTGTTGAAAATACTTGAGATACATTGTGTAAACATGCTCACGTTTATAAAAAGGTTGCAATATATATCGCACGGAATCAGGGCAAGCCCCCTGCCCCCCTCCAACAACCTCCTGTAATGATTTTAATAATGAAAAGGTTGATAAGGATATCATATCGCTTTAACATAGGTATATCAAACTAGAGGTCAAGACTTGCATTCTCATAGAAAAAAGTGACAGAAAGCAGTGTGAAAATGACTAAATTATCATCTTTTCTGACATAATATTCTTGCTTTTTTTGTAACAGTTATCAATACGTATCGTAGGCCTACCTTTCTCAACCTTGTTGGCTGAACCGACTGCGATGTTCTCTTCCATCATTGTACGCCTAGCTGTGGTGGTCACTGAAAGCGAAATCCAGTTAGTTTATCTTACCAACAAATCGTTTTATTGGTTCAAGATAAAGATGACCGTCCTTATCATTATCAACATTACTATTATTTCTGATTGTGCAAAGTTTTGGAGTAAAGGGAGTCTCTATATATCGTTCAAAATGCGTCATAGACTTTGCTCGCAGGCGTTTCTCATGTAAATGTGGGTGGAACTTTAAAACTTAAGGTCGAGATTGTGCCTGTTAACCGACCTATACCAGAAAACTTCAATGTCACTAAAGCACTGCCACACTAAATGATTCTGATCACTAAATTGATATTCATAGCCAAACTTACCTCCTTTAAAACTCCTTTTACTGCTCTTAGTTTCGTTTCAAGTGACGTACAGAAAAAATCCCCAGTCTATTTTTAGCAATGATGACGAAGTTGTTTTGCATTGATTCTGGCCAACCTTTGTGTTTCTATAACCTAGTTCATTAATAACCCGGATCGATTTGTTTACCCCTGTATTGAAAATTCACGAGTTACCACAAAAAAAAGTCTGAAGTGAAATACATACAGGTACACTGCTTATGCATGGCTTCAGCTATTACAGGTCTTTTTACGAACGATAGATCCCCAGTAATAAAAGCAGCTGACAAATCTGACTGGGATTTTATCAGCACAGGAAGTAATCACACTGAAATCATTGACGGGGTTATTCTTTTTAAACCCGAGCGTTTTTCACATTCTTTGCTAAACTAGAATTGTTAGCATTCTAAACTGCTAACGTCATTTTCATCAACTTACATAGTTTCGTGCATTTGGGCAGGTCTATGTCAACTATTTATGATGTTAACGAGACCCTGATTCATATACACAAGGCACATGGAAGCGTTGTATGTTGAATAAGTTTTATCAGTATACAAAAATTGTTTTTACTAATAATTTCAAATACATGATATTGTATTCCATTTTGTTAACTATATTTTAAAAGGTGGCATTGGATGTGTTTGCATCAAGACGAATTAATTATGCTTGTTAACAAATTTTAATAGCTTATACAGTGGCGTAGCTACCTACACACACTGGACAATAGAAGTGTCACCCCTAAATTTTGTTATCAACCTCCCCTGGCCGAAGAACTGATACAAAAGTTGCATACACTTTATTTGACCCTAGCTACGCCCCTGGCTTAAGAGGAAAGTTGGGTCTCAAGTACCAAGTATAGTCTATTGAATTAAAATTGGATGTATTTCTAAAAGAGAATTTGTAGAATTTGCCTCTACCATTATATCTAATTTATAACGTGTTTGTAAAAAGTTGCTTAATACACATAAGAAAATCGTTGGGGTTATTGCTCATCTACAGTTAACATTGTACACGCTTCTATCGAACTTACTGAAATCACCATTTTTGAAACCTGTTCTTCTGATAATATAACATGACATTTGAGTAGAAAAAAAAAAAAAAAAAACAACCAAACACGTCTTTTTCTGACCCTGGCGTTACGGAGCGGAGCACACTGTTATCTGTGAAATATCAGGCTTGTAATTTTTTTTACATTTAGTCTTTTTAGGTTGACACCGTGTAAAAAATCTGCAATGAAATCATTTTACATTGGAGAATTATTTCATTAATACGTGCTGTACATGTGCACTAAGTAATTTTAAGAGTATGCCTGTGACATAATTTGCACCTCTATATTGGGCTTGGGTGACAGTGTCTGCTCCTCTTTTTGGATGCTATATGCAATTATAATTATATTTATATTCATATTACCTAGTCATTCCTTAAGAAAAAGTATCCAAGATTATTGATATTCCTATCTTCTCAGGGGTATCTGTTGAAAAAAAAAACATTTCTTATTTCTCTAGATTAAAGACACGAGAGACGCATTTGAAAGCTGACACAGGCGGTAATTATACAAGAAAATTATACCAATGGCTCACACTAGTTTAAAGTCGGTTTGCTTCTTTCCTTATATGTGTATAAAAAATAATTATCCTGTCTAAAGGGGCCGTTCAGTACATCAATCTTTTAGATGTCATTTACAAGTTTAAGTATTTATACTGGTTGTGGGAGTAGGGGCAGGGGTAGGGGTTAGGTCCTAGCCCCACAAGGTTCATATCGGGCATACTGTGGGTGTAGGAAGCAGGGGTACTGTCCACTTCATTAATTCACATGTAAATTGTCCTGACCTCCCCCTCCCCTTTTGATTTCTGGAAAAAAAATCACACCAATGGTCCCCGTCTGAAATTATAATTTTGACTGGATGAATCCAAGGAGTTATAACAGATTATAACTCCTTGATGAATCATAGTTCTAAACCGTACCAAATGGCACCGTGCGCCCTCTAAAATACCAATTCTTTTCGGGACCCTTAAGCGGCCCCCGAACCCCCCGCCCCGGACCCCCTTCAAATAATCCTGTATCCGCCCCTGAGTAGGCACCAGTGTTGTGAACCCTTACCACACGTAAAAAACCTGGGTGTCTACTTTGACTCCACACTCTCCATGGATAGACATGAAATATCACTCAATAATGTACATTGTACTTTATACAGTGTTTTAATATCTCAATATTTTAACTATTTATTGATTTTATTCATCTTATTCTGTTAATTTTACCCCTCTAAAGTCTTCGGAAAATTTTATATGGATTTCAAACTTTAAATTATTATTATTATTATTATTATTATTATTATTATTATTATTATTATTATTATTATTATTATTATTATCAAAAAAAGGTGTGAGAATCTGCGTGAGGTGGGACTTAGTGCGAAAAAGGCTTTATTTCTTATGGGTCATGGTAACTTTAAGTCCCCGGTCTTTAATGGTTTGTCTCTTACATATCCCATGTTTATTTTTAAAAAATGTTTTCATAAAATTCTACCATCTAAAAAGCGACCCATATGTAGGAGAATTAGGGATTTCTATTAGTGGAAATTGAGAACAGGGCAATATACTATTCAAAACCAGGGTAATTCTGACAGCAGCGATGGTACATTGGGAAGGACGTCTGGTTCCCAAACCAAAAGTGTCGGGTTCAAAACCCACTCTTGACGTGTATTTTAAATATTTTAATTTCAAGGTAAAGAGTACAGGTAAATAGGCCAAGAAATGAAGGTGTCTCTGTGTCCTCGTCGGTGGCGCAATGGGTAGCGCACCTATATGGTTACGAAGCCTTCTTCGACGCCGACAGACACGAAGACGTCTGGAGTAGGTTACGTGTAGGCCAGGTGTAGGTCAGATCAGGCAAAGGTGTAGGTCAGATCAGGCAAAGGTGTAGGTCAGCCTAGGATAGCCTAGGAGTGAACTAGGAGTAGGAATAAAACTTAGAAAACCAAATAGGCATTGAGATATAAGTTACAAAATCCAATAGGCATTGACAAAGACCAAACAAAGCTATGCTAAACTTAAAATTTTTTCCTGACATTTCTAGTTTTGTGTTTGGATTTATTTAATGCTAACTAACAGGATAGAGAGAGACAAGTGTGGTGCAGCATATGATCTCTGACTTTGGGCTTTCTCCGATGATTTTCATTAATACGAAAAGGGGTCCGCATTTATCGATACACTGAAAAAGGTTTAAAATAATGAACGGATAAATAAATAGATATAAAGATAAATGTGTAAAAGAAAAGAAAATAAAGAAAGGTAGAATAAAAAGATCTTTGATGTGAAAAAGGATGTATGAGAAGCAGGATTTATTATGAAAAGGGGGTAGGAATAAAAGTTAGAAAATGAAACAAGCATTGAAAATTAAGAAAGTAACACGAATATAGTGCAGTGAAAATTTTAGTGATTTCTTAAAATTTTTTTCTGACATTTCCACTGTTGTGTTGCTTGTGTTAATTTCAGTATAGGTCAGATCAGGCAAAGGTGAAGGTCAGCCTAGGAGTAGCCTAGGAGTGAGTTAGCAGTAGGGAAAGAGTTAGAAAATCAAATAGTAATTGAAAAATAAGAAAGTAATTCAAATGAAGTGCTGTGAAAAAAATAGTGATTTTTTTTTCAGTTTTTTCTGACATTTCCAGTATGGTGCTTGGATTAATCTAGTGTCGACTAGCAGATGTAAACTACAGCATTTTTTTTGCCAGGACCAGGGACAGGTGTGGTGCAGTGTGTGACCTCTGGCGCAGGGAGCTACAGAGGGTGGAGCGGTGTTGCGGTTTGCTATTTTGCGTGGCCGCAACGCACCTGTTAGTCTGTCATTATTTGAACCCTCTCTCCTTCAAAGTTTCCGAGACTTCGTAAGTTTTGACAATAATTTGTGAGGCTTTAAATTTGGCCTTTCTCGGTGATTGTCATGAAGAAGAATAGGAATTCAAATTTACCTGTATACGCACTAAACAGGTTTAAATTCAGGCCCGTATCCAGCAATTTCAAAAGGGGGGGGGGCTTTTTCTGAAAATATGGATATTTTAATACCATGAACCCCTGGCTATAGACCTGAAATTAATCAATGAATAAATAGATATATAACGATAAATGAATAAAAGAAAGAAATGATAATAAGATCAATGTTGTCGTTTCATGCCATTGGTATCGTTTCATATTTTCATTCTTGTAAGCGCAAAGGATAGGGAAACGGGGTAACTCTCGAAAGCATAATCAGAGCTGCAGATTAATTATGCACATTTTTTCTTCGAGTCGTGTCATGAATTAGCCAGAGACATGCTATATATCCAGTGAATATCTAGTGAAAATTATTCTGTGACCATGGTCAGGGGCGGATCCAGAGATATTTTATGACAGTCTTCCAAATTGTCTTCGTTGATTCATCCTCCGTTTCTGACCGTCTTCCGACAGAAAAAATTAGATACCCGCCAATGTAAACTTGAAAATCTGACCGTCTTCCGGAAGACCCAGAAGACGGCCTAAATCCGCCCCTGATGGTAGAGGTAGCCTAAACGAAGCGTGGATACTGAGGGACCATTCCCAGACCCTATCGTATTAACTGTGGATCGATCTATCTCCGAGGGAATTCTCGCTATTGCAATCAACTTAAGCGGCTTAGATGTCCGTGGCAAATGTACTCTTATCTAAAGTACTTGTTTTTATGTAAAGTCCACTGAAAATTTTGAATAAATTTAAGCTCAAAATAATTTATTATTATTTTTTCATTATTAGTATAAGGGAAGAACATTCACTTCCGTCCATTCAAACTACAGTATTATTGGCTTTATTTCCAAATTTGGGACCCCTAATTGCACAAGTCGCTGTCTTGCCCAAATTCCTAATACATTTACAAAGGCGGATCTTTAGCCTCTGAGGTACCCCATTCCCCTTCTCCCTTTCCTCCCCTTTAACGAAAAAAAAAAAACAAAAAACAATGCACAAAACCGAACACCGTTTTTATTTGTTTACGAATGCGATTGGCACTGTTAGCCTATTAGCCGAAAAATATTTCTATAGTGAGACATAGCCACAGTTTAATTAACTCGTTAACAGACTTATTTGCGATGTAGTCAATTTCTTTCTGCCCTTTCTGTCAATTCAAATACATAGTTTCTAATTTGGTCGATACTGTATTGATTTGTTTCCATCATTAATGTGTTTTCACAGTTTATGACATAATAATGTGGATATTTCAATGTCTGGACAAAACTCAATTAGAATTTATTTTACGTGACAGTAAGCACCCTCTAATAAACCGCGTTCCTATAATTGTAACCTCCTCGGCGGCGGGCATAATAATGAAGCAAGCGGCTCTGCAGGTTGTTGGAGACAGGTCTAATGGCGTGGTATCTTCTGGGGGGTTCTTCCCTCCAAAGATTCAGATCAAGGCCTGGGATCTGGCTGCAGGGGACTCTCTTGTTGTCTATATTTCCGTACAACTGAAGGAGGTAGTACCCATGTTGGACATTGAAGCTATAAAAGAAGATGGATATGTTGAAATATTAAAATATGACTGACACCATCTTAGTTCTCTAGGAAGGGTGGTCAGCTTTGTTTCATCTTATTTTTTAATCAAACTTTATATTTATGCTAACCCTTAAAATCATATAACAACTTCCTGCCACTTCGGTTCCCAGATTAAATGTAATCATATTCCACGAATTCCTTGCATCGCAAACAATACATAGCATTACTCACTGCTTGATTACCATCGTCTACATATGGATATTTAAAGTTCTCCAACTACTAATAAAGGGCTTTCTTATAACAGGTGCCCATTTAGAAGGTGTCCCTCTAGTGGCAGGTAAGTTGAAACAGAGGCAAAGCAAATCAAGAGAGCCATGAAACCTTACGGTGGAACACATTGCTCTTTCATATGGCAATTCTGACATGAATGATGGAAAGAAAACACGACCATGACGGCACCTTAACATTCATGCCCTATAGATAGTGCGTGCTACTTACTTTGGTGATCTAATGACATCTTCTAAAGCTCGCAACATCGTTTTAGGTTGGATCGTAAGCATACTGTCTAAGCTGTCGCATATCATTCTTGCATAGGAAGACCTTCTCACAGAGTTTATCTGTTCAAGGGTCAATCCATTTTCCTTATTTTCAAACCAGAAACGGTCGCCAACACGAAGACGTTGAAATTGTTCGGCAATTATACAGCCAAAGGTGGGACCAACACCAGCCGCAGGAAGAGGCTCTTCTAGCAAACCGCCGGTAAATGAATCAACATCATCTGGGTGACTGAAAATATCATCAACAACAAGACTGACCAACATCATAAAATATCTGTCCATATTCTAAAATATTGAAACTGAATGTTTCAAAAGTTTGTCGACTTCATGATCTCCCCTACATGGCATTGTTGGATAGAATGCATTAGTGCAGTTACGTATAAAATGGGCAAACGGCACCAGAGACACGTCTGGACAAATCTTATTTCAAAGACTATTATAATTTACCAAACATGTTCCAAATTATTTTCTATGGATTTCAGGCTGGTATTACATCAATGTTCTACTCTATAAAAATACTCTACATCAGAGAGAAAAAGAGAGCAATGGTTAGGAATTCACAGAATGTTCTTTTTAGTTACCTGTACAGCTTAATTAGTTTGAGGACCGTGGAAGGTTTCAGTCGGAATTCTCGGGGTCCGAACAAGAAGTCATTGAAAGTCTTTGCTCTATTTCCACCACAATATTCGCGCCAGGCATTGTATCCTGAAAATTACAAGACTTAATGTTCAAAGCTACATAAATAAAAAACTTAATTATAATAATATAAGTTATTAATAATAATAATAATAATAATAATAATAATAATAATAATAGTATTATTATTATTATGACAATAATAATAACAATAACAAATAACAATTCATTGAGCTCTACACATATACATAGATATGACATAATTCTATAATGTATCAAAAACTTATGTGCTGGAATTTCATTAAGGAGTATGAGTTCTTAATTAGAATTTGATAATAGAGATTATTCTTCTCTTTCACCTGGTAAACCGTGATCTCTTCCTCTCTGTAGATTCAGTACGACAAGGTCCATCCCAAGCTGCTTCCTCCTCGGGTTTTCACTGAACAAGTGTAGAGTGACCTCTTCGGTGACCATACGGTCTATTGTCTCCATCTCAGTGTCCAAGGTACCGGACACCACAGAGTCAACACCTCCATTTTTCCAATCATACACCATCCCTGGACGGGTAAAGATCTGTACAGGGACCAAAATGGCATATTACAGTCATGATCAGTTAGATTAACGAGATACTTAAAGTTGGGAAATATAGGTACATGCAGAAACTATAGAGACTAACACCTCATTTCCATAGATTTTTAGATCGATCTATCCCTGTGGGGAGTCTCACTAGATTACTGTCAGCTTGGCCGGCTTCAGCGTCTGTCCCGCCTACTAAAAGCTGTAAGGGGGTAATTAACTATGGTGCCCGCTCGGCTGACTGCAATTTAGCGTGAACCCCCAGGGAGTTAGGTCGATCTAAAACTTAATTTTTAGATCGATCTAAATCTCTGGGAAAGCACCCTTATACACAAGATACCCAATGGCAACTTTTGACTCTTGTCAAAAGTTAACAGTTTTAATATTGTTATTTGCAAGGTAGGCTGTACACTAAAATAATTTTAAAAGATGAATTTAAGCATTGTCATCATATAAACGATGTCAAAGTCGCATTTCTTTGAGATTTTGCTCATGATTTCTTAATAATTACCTGATTAGGCCTATAACCGCTGTTGAGAAGAAATTCATACTTGTTTTGAGTTTAATATGTGATGATTTACACACAATAGAAGTGTCACCCCTACCGAACCAATACTTTGCTGGAGATAAATGACTGTAGAATGATATGCTCCTGGTATCATTTTATTAACATCAAATTTCACAAAAAGACCAACAATACAATTCCATGGTACAGCTGTTTTATACTCATTAGTCACATTATAGATAGACCAGGCATTATAACTTTGATTACTCTGATTCAGGGGGTGACACTTCTATTGTCCAGTGTGTGTAGAAATGAAGTTATCACTTACGGTAGACGTATCAAAAGTTTCTATAACGTTGTGATTTATATCCGTTCTTTTCAGCTTTGTGGGAATAGTGCTGTGTCCAAAGCGAAAAACTGAGGTAGTGAAAACATTGCTGATACTTGCGTCCACGCTGTCGTCATAGCCTGTACAAAACAAGAAGTTTAAAACCGCACCTTTAAAGGGAAGTACTCAACGTCTGCTTTAAGCATAAATTAGATAAATTCAATTAAACAGATTCTATACCGAGACTTTTTTCTTCGTTATAGCCTGGGTTTAACCTAATTTGAAATACATGCAAGCTGATAGTTGATAAAATTCTATATTTGAGATATATGTAATATATATTTGATGAATAGTATATTTTAAAGCACATGAACTGTTTTTATTAAACTAAGTAATATAACTAATAGCCCTGATATAACTAAAGTCTTTGTAATGGTAAGAAGAGACTCAACTAACTCTGTCATGGTTAACCAGGAAACTAATTTAACTTCCTCATAAAAAAACAAAGTACATTTGTGTACTGAAGTCTAAACAGCCTTTATCTTACGTGATATAGGGCCATCAAAATGTTTAATCACCTTTGAAAAACCCGTCCTTCAAAATATTCAATTGATATAATTGCATCAATTTTGGCCCGACAATGGCCGGCAGGAAATCCTGATATACGCAGTTCTGCCACTGGGCGATGTTGATCCTGCGAGCCTCTTGGAACAATCGCTCACCATCCCAGTGAGGGTTAATACTGTGCAGTCCATCCACTATCCGGTTGTGTTCACGAACAAGCATATGGTGATAACATGACAGGATGACGTTTTCGTTCACACGATCGTCACCTAAAATGAGAGACCGCATATCTGTATCTATTCATTTATCTAAACATACAGAGGAAGACGCACATCAACACAAATGCGTACGTATAATGTGTTTTAAGGGCTCTTATATAAACTAAAATACCGGACGTAATATCGTTTTACTTTTTGTTTACTTTTCTCATACATTTGTAGTACAAATATATATTCAAAAGACCTGTACATTCAGAATTATTGTTAACTTTTGTTTCTAATTATATAAACTATTTATACTGCAAAAGTTCGAGAGAGAGACAGAAAGAGAGAGAGAGCAAAACAAAACACGTGTTATAGACCTAATAACTGTTTGTATGAATTTAGCTTTTACTTTGTTATAGTTAGTTGAAGCGCGAGATATGTCGTCATTCACTCTCAGTGTTAAAGTGAACGCCTATAAAGTCCAATGAGAAACGAGAAATGCATTTATGCTGTACAGTATAATCAAATAAAATGCACGTAACAATAATTTGTTCCAGTTGTATTATCAAATGCTTTAAACTTTCCAGTTGCCATCCTTACCGAAAAACTACAATTAAGAGAATCAATTGTATTTATGTAGCAAATGGTTTGTTTTAGTGGTGCTATTAACTTTTTGGTAATACATCAACGTTTTGTTTGGGTCTTGTGTCTGCACATTTTGACCTTAAGTAGTTGACCAAGACAAGGTGATAACAGATGTCCAGGGTTAAGGAATGTCTTAGCNTTTTTGCTCCTATAGCTGTTGTGATTTCTCATATTTTTCATAATTAATCCTGGTTACATTTCATTAACATACTTTATTATTTTTATATTTAGCACTTATATAGTTTGGGGGATGTTTATTATCTCCCCAGTTTTGTAACTTGGCCTTTTATTTTCATTTGCGCCAACTTTTTGCTCCTATAGTTGTTGTGATTTCTCATATTTTTCATAATTAATTCTGGTTACATTTCATTAACATACTTTATTATTTTTATATTTAGCACTTATATAGTTTGGGGGATGTTTATTATCTCCCCAGTTTTGTAACTTTGTATCTTATTAGTTTTCGTCATTAATAAATGACAATTTCATTCATATGGACTTATCCTACTTAATTTGGAGCAAAAACAGAGCTTCGTTGTGCTTGTGAACATTTGGCTACATAAAATTAAATTTAAAAATGCTACATAAAAATGCATGCCTTTCATTTTGGCTGTCGTCTTCACCTTGTAGCTGTAAATACTTCGGTCTTCAATTTCGCCACACACACACACACACACACACACACACACACACACACACGGACCCATATACACATGCAATACTCATAGAAAATAATAATAACTGACACAATTAAAACGGTTCTTACCTGCCAGGAAGCATCTAACACTTCCTGCTTCTTCTCGGCACGTCTCGTCATTCCTGACTGGCAGGAGCGGCTTAAGGGACGGCACAAACGGATGGGGCCTCATTTCCAATTTCCCAGTACCTGAAATTAAACTGGTGTAGGTGGTTGAAAAATCTCAACGTACACGCACAAGCGCGTGCGCGCGCGCGTAAATATGTATATTGGGTTATAGGAATTATTGGGAACATCAGTATAATGCATGATTCAAAAATATTTTATTAACATTATTAAAATCCATTTCGTACTTACTTTTTATTCTGAAAGAAGAGCTGGAAGTCTTTAATCTATCGCGTTTTAACTCGGCGTTTCCGTGCCATTCGCTTTTTATTTTGTTTGCTTGATTCTTATTAACTAACCAAGTTTATGCGTGTGCACATTTGGTGTATAATACTCAAGCTGTTCATTTCACTTACTCCTGTCCTTAGCCCTTAGTTTTTCCGCCTCCTCTTTGGTGCTACCATACGCCTGGGAGAGATCAAGGTATGCTGTGATGGCATTTTTTTGCTCACGAGGACCTGGTTATGTAGACAAATATATACCCAGATGACATGTGCACATTGTATCACTCTGTGTAACGGGGGTATTGCAAATTGTTATCCCTAAATGTATAGTGGCAGATAACTGGTGCTGTTGTCCCCACATTAAATATTAATTTATTTTCGCATGACAAAGTAACTTAAGGGTTTACAACATGGCCTATCTTTGCGATTAAAAAATCATAAACCATTTTAACCACCCTATGGGTGGACTTAATCGAAGCGGATTTATGAACAACAAGGTTGAAATATTTTAATATTGGATAAGAGTTATAAAGGTCAAAATAAAGTCAAAATCAAATGAACCACAACTCACCGAATACGCATCCCTGACGAGGAGCTGAAGAACTGCGGACGAACTCAAAGCATTCTTTATCGATACCGTGCACGTCGCCGTGCGGTATAGGTACAGGGTGGCACGAACTCAAGGGACCGGGGCCAAACGTACAGTTGTCATGGCCGCATCGCACGTCAATGACATCTTTTTTGCCAGATTCTGAAAAAAAAGAGCTACCACGTGAAAAGCAATCCCAATAAGACAAAGAAAACAAGGATTTGCAATTTTTTAAAAAAATCTGTGTTAATATTGGGGTATAGATTACAAGGTGATATACTGTATGTAGTTTGACCACCAAGACTCAAGATAGTAAAAACATAAATTTTGAAAAGCATTGTATTTGTGATACATGTTGCTTTCTCGTGTTCATGAGGAGGCCAAATAAGAAGACCAAGCCAAAATAGTACCAGTAAGAGAAAGAATCTGGCACCAGAGGCTAGATCTCTCAGACAATAGTGTTACCAGTGAGTCTTCTAAGACCAAGAGAATCACGTTAATGTTATATTCAGAGGTTGCTACTTACTGTCCCTTTTGAGGATTTTAGTCACTGGGGCTTTGCTTAAGTCGTGGTCCAGAAATTGTCCGAAAAAAGTGGCGGCTACTGTAATATAGTTCATTGGATTGGAAATGTCCTCATGAAGAATTCTGCTGACAAGACGGGGGTTTGGTAGTGAACCTCCGTTTTTGGATCCCTTCAAAGAACTGATTCCTAGTTGGTTAAAAAAAGGAAATTATTTCAAAGAGAATAAATGTTTTTTTTTTCTACAAGGCATGGCGTTTCGACCTGTCAATTTAAAAACTAACAACCGATTTTCCCCTACGTGACCTCAAGCTTATGTCGGAGAAATGCACGTAATGTATCCGTATCCCGTAACTACTTTGATGTCAAAAGTATCACACGGAAAATTGTACACGATTTCATCGTTTGACGCCCGTGGCAAATGTAATCTAGACTTTACGCTCTTTTTTCTTATGCTTTTTTATGTCTACGTTACTAGTGACAATGGGTGTCGATTCTTTGATGATTACAAGAAAATAAGAATAATTACCTAATATCAAATAAATATCAAATAGATATCAAATAAAAATCATGTTACACGTGATCAGAACTTGTAGAGGTTGTACTCCACACTGAATTTACCTGTACCTCACGCTGACACAAAATCATCGCGTGACCGTCTACAAAACAGCTCGTGTGAACTCGTGTGAATTCGTGCGAGAACGGTGTTAGGCTTACCATCTTGGTATTGGGCTGGCAACAGACGGAGAAGTGGTGTGAACGATTTCCCCCAGAGTGAATTGCGCAAATTGTTGCAGGATCCGTCAATTGACCTAAAGCGTTCCGAGGCATCGCACTGAATTGCGTCTTCAGGGCAAAGAGCAAGTTTGTTTTCGAAGGAAGATGGTATTCGCTCTCTTATAACCGCTGGACTCAGTTTAATTAATTGCGGTGGATGAACGCCATATCTGAATATAAGGCATTTTTAGTTAAATCAATAGAAAATAAGTTCCGTTGTAGTCCAATTTATATAATTACCTGGTAGTGACAGGGCCAATGTTAACTTACATGTACTACAGACGAAAAGAGGGATTCAAGGACGGCCAGACTGTCGGTAAAATAGTTATCATTTGAGGTTAAATAAAATGTTTTAATATAGTTATTTGTACAGTACAATACAAAATTCACCATTAATAAGTAGATAGAGAAAGTGAAATTGCAAATACTTATCTATACCTGTTGTCGTTGTTTAATATGCAAGAGAATTAGGATGAGTTCTCTTTAAAATGCATGGAGTGCACACTGACAAAGAACTGCCATTTATCATCATTATCAATTGATAGTGACAAAAGAAACAATTACAACATACTTATGTTATTTGCAGTCATCAATAACTGCTTTCACAGAAGAGGAGAGGAAATATATTTACATTCGTAGGAGTCTCCTGTAAAACTCTGTTTGGAGTTGTCCATTGAAGTCCATGTATTTCGTCTTTATGTCTCCGCCTTTGAGCTTCCTAGAAATGACTCGAAACCCGTACACGAGGGAGTTTGTGGAATCTAAGGAATAAAATATTTATGTAAAACATCAGTACTGCATAGTTTCTGTGATGATAAAACTGGTTATAAAGATGCATATTAGTCGCAGTAGCCATGTAAAGTATGATGTAAAAAGTTTACATGATTTCAATCTACCGATGTTCTTAAAAACATTGTCAGACCGCCACTCCAAACCTCTATTTTTATACAGTGGCGTTGTGACAACACTCAGTAGGGCAAAGTCATAAGGGTGCCACTTTGAATTGCTGATAAAACTTACACCTCCGTCAATCAATCCCATTGGCCACACTTGTTAACTACTCTTGGCAAACGAAATCAATTTTGACTATATAGCCTTTCGGACGTGTATGTACAGACTTGGCTTTTAATATGGAATATTAAACTTTCAAAGGTATGCCAAGGTAAAAATGTGTTCCTTTAAAAAAACTCAAATCTCATATAAGATATTTGAATAGTGAAGTGCGCTGTCAGGTATGTCGCTACCAATTAACTGACTACCATGGCTGTAGCACTGCTGCATTGCATAATATGCAGTGATTTAATTAGTGCTCCTTTGGACTGGTCAGAGATTGGTTCTGTCCAGAAAGTATCCACAAGGCGGCAAATACTGCATAGAATAATTTGAATTTTTGCATGCAAACGGTTTGCTTTGAAGTGCGTAAAATGAGCTAAGCAGTGTGTTACAACAGTGATAATCTATCCAGAATGGCGCGAAAAAGACAAGCATTGCACGACAGATTATTGTGTCACACGGAATGGTTCTCACAGTTTTATAGTGTTATGTCCAGACTGATGTACCTACTTAGAGGCCACGTCCAGTGTATGGAATACTTACCACCAGGATACAGTACTCACTGTCCTGAGGGATATATTGCTGCAAATAAACAAAGACCACCCATTCCGTTCAGAATAATGGGCAAATTGCCACCAGAACGCGTTCTGAAAGGCCCTTAGCGAACATCAGACTGGTTTTAGCAGGCTAAAATACCAGAAGACCTCTGAGGAAGCCACTGTAAACAGCAAAACATTGTCATCTGTCTCTCTAATGAACTGGGGACCATGGCTGTTTCTGGGTAGAACACTGAAACCGCGTGGATTTCTTTATTGAGGTCAGATTTCACCTGCAGTGCTAAAGTAGTCAAAGTATAGTTTACATACATCCTGAAGAGGCCTTCGACAAAGAGTGTGTCGCGTCTTGACTGAATAGGGCCATTGACAGCATCAATATTTGGAGTGGATATCACATTGGTGCCAAAACACCAATGGTAGTCATCGATAAAAACCTGAACAAAATCAAATATAGGAATAATCTGGGAACCACTTTACTACCATTTGATATGGGGCACATGAGGAACAATTTTAGATAGCACAATAAAAGTGCCGGTTCACACAGAGCACTTTTCTTTTAATCGCAGATAACTTGCAGAACCAAGAGCAGCCACCTTGGCTATCAAGATCGTCAGATTTGAACACCATGTATAGCCCGTGAGTAGGTCATTACTTACAAAAATACGGACTACTTATCCTACAAATAAACCGAACCAAATTGGACAAGTTTTGACCTACCCCTAGGAATGCCTTACCGCTTGAGAGCCCTGGTAGCAGCCAGATGAGGTCAGTCGCAACAGCGACGGTTGCCGTGACTAGACACTGACATGAGGGTCCTTTTTGGGGCGTAAAACTCTTTTACAGACGATAACTTGGAAAATGTGGAGATCCAAAATATCGCTTTTAATGGTTGTCGTATGACTTAGAATCAGCAATGTATTTCGTTTGCCTCACTGGCGAATTCAATTAAAGAACTGATGTCTCAGTGACATCAAGGAGTTTATTTAAAGTAATCAAAACACTATTTTAATCCTTATTTTTATTTATCAATCCGAAAAAATAGGAAAAATTGATGAAAAATGATTCGGAAAAAATTCTCCATATTAAATGTCAAGTCTGTATATGTACGAAGAACTTGATTAAATAATGGAAGTATAGTTATACATCCATGACTTAATGTTAACATGTCACTTAATTAAATTGCCCTCCAAGATCCAGGCAACTTCGATTTCCTTTTACACCAGTCTGGGCTCAGCCATAGCACTTCAAAAGTGAATGGTACTTAACTGCCACTTTATCTAGGAAAGTGACTTCGGAAAAGCTAGATTTTGCGTGGATAAAAAAAGAAAATAACACATAGGTTGAAGTAATTTTCATTGCGTTTAAGGTTGATTTTTGTATTGAGCGCGATAAAGATGTTAAAAACGTATTTAGTGAAACATATTTGACAAGTAAAATAGATAAATAAACATTACCTGTTTTAAAGGAACTTTAATTTGCAGAAATGGGCTTAAGAGATGGGATTAAACTGACTGGAACTTAAATGGTTTCATATCATGCTTGCCAGAGAAAACGTACTTTTAATTTCATTTAAAAGAATAAAAGGAAAACAAAGATGTATAATCTTTTACAACAAATATGGCAGGGAAACTAGTGTGTGTGTGTGTGTGTGTGTGTGTGTGTGTTTGTGTGTGTGTGTGTGCACATGTGTGCTGAACATGTACCTGAGTAATTGGTGGAAAAGAGAAGTTCTGCGTCGATTTGGTCCTGAAGGGCAGTTCTAACGATGGCATATTCGGCTGACACATCAAAGGTTCGTTCCAGCTTGTAAGTCACTTCGTAATTTCTTCCTGCAACTATGGTTAAATCTAGAAAGAAGGAAATTATCTGTTTAATACTAAATGCTAGATACAGAGGAATTATTTACACCAAACACAAAAATCAATGTTTTTTTATTTATTTGTGTGTGTTTCTATTTGACTTTAGTATTGTAAAATTAAAAAAAAAAAATACCCGTGAAAAAAAATTAAAAAAACGACACAATTTACAGTGGTCGCCACTTATGAAACAAAACACCAGAAAAGACAGAAAGTACTATATACAGAAATACTATAACAAATGCTCTTTCAGTCCACTATTACTTCTGACAAGATCATCATCTGTCTCGTATTTGGCACGAAGCCGCCGTTTAATCACGTTTTGCCTATCTATTGCTTGAAGCACGCGACTGCAACCCACTGTGTCACGAAGCTGAGAAAGGCAAGGGTCTTGCCGGAGGTTTTACGAGACATAAAACGAAAGACATCTTTATAAAGGTACAGCAGCTTGCCACAGAAAAGTCGGGTGCAAACGAGAGACTTCAAATTTTAAAGTAAAAAAAGTAAAAGTACATTTGAACCGAGCGTCGGCTGAGCGTGGATTCCCAAAAATGCATGTAAAACCATTTCTGTTACTTAACTTCTAATATTGACTTTAAATAATCTTTAGAATAAGAGGTACATATTTATTTATTTACTTTGAAATAATATATTTCATCAGTCTCATACATAGAATCACCTATACATAAGAAATATTAAAGAAGTTCGATCAGTGGCTAAAGTAACCAGACAAATCCAACATGAACAATTTCCAAAATAAGCTGAAGTCAGGCTTCTGACAGATACAATCGACAACAGTTGTCAAACTTGTTTTCAATCTGGCTGTTGCTGGCCATGATCTTAAACAACGCGTAGACGATTGCCCAGCCTCCAACTGAATGAATGAACATAAGCACGCACTCTCTCTCTCTCTTTCACATTCCTAACACACGCGCACACGGTTCAGCTCGCAGATGGACACAATATGTCCTTGTAAAGGAATACATACAAAGTGAAGAACAAACTGCCTTGAATTGACCAGAACCCGAGCAGGACATTTAATAATTATGGTATCTTTTTACACTCTAAAACATTTAGATTTTTCAGTAGACTTAACAAGAGTAAATTACAGAAATAAGGTGAACAAAATAAATAAATAGCTATAATATTAAGATAATAAAAATATAATACAAGGTAAACTTTAAACCAGTCGAAGCAGTGAAAACGTTAATTAGCTTGTTGAATCATACCTGATAATTATATAGCACAAGCTGAAAATATGTAGTTAAAGACCAGGGCTAACAAGAAGAAAGTGACTGTAGGCAATATCAGCTCCTTGAATCCGAACCAATCAACATCCCATGGAAGATACGAAAGGCAATCAACAGCCGTCACCAGCCACCCATGAATAGGGACGGGGTTGGGTTGTCGACCTACCTGACATTTATAAGAGTGTCCTGACCGCTATACCACCTAAGGTTATTCTGATGAAGGCCAACGTCCAGGTTGGCCCCAAGCTAACGGTATGAAAATTATTTTCAGCTTGTGCTAAAGTAATTGTCGTGTATACCGGCAAATCAGCTATAAAACCTTTTGAAAAAAAATGTTTTTAGTTCTTATTTAAAATTGTCCTCATACTCTAAAGATTTTTAATACATCGGGGGAATGTTTCATTCATTTGGTCTTGTAATGCTACATGTAGGTCGCCATAGGTTTTCAGTCTGGGATTACATGGCGTCAGCAATTACTGATAGGGTGGCCTTAAGTTACGTTTTGGAGTATAATGAATGACTTAGGGTGTATTCCCAGAGATTTAGATAGATCCAGGGATTAAGATTTAGATCGACCTAACTCCCTGGGGGTTCACGCTAAATTGCAGTCACCCGAGCGTGCACCATAGTTAATTACCCCCTTACAGCTTACAGTAGGCGGGACAGACGCTTAAGCCGGCTTAGCTGACAGTAATCTAGTGAGACTCCACACAGGGATAGATCGATCTAAAATCTATGGAAATGGGGTCTTAGTCCAGTCTCAATTTTATGTACCATTACCCCGTCTATCGCTTACAGTATATATCTGTAATATGGAAAAAATTTTCTAAAGTTGCCGGCCATTAAACGAATTCCAATGTGAAAAATACTAAAACGCAGAAAGAAGACGTTAGAATTAATCTATTATGCTTGGCAAGACATTTGCAAATTGTAATTTAGTATAATATACTGTTATCCCTACCCGACTTTTCACCACAATTTCTGTGACAATGGTATGACGTCTTTGTTTTATGCGATAAGTAAACCACAAAAGGCTTTTCCTTCGACATCCTTTTTATTTGTATCTTGCAACCATTACGGCAACATAGCCGTTCTCCAATCTCTCTCTCTCTCTCTCTCTCTCTCTCTCTCTCTCTCACAGCTATATCTTAATAACATGACACTATTAAACGCATTGCTTTTTATGAAAACATTTCAACAATTTTTTTTCTCGCTATGCACGCATCACGTTAACGGCGTATTTGCCCTCACTTATTTGATGTAAACATTTGCTTGCTTTTCAGTTATACAGTGTATCATGTCAACCATTAATAAACATTATTCAATAATCAGCATAACAATTTTCATTTTCACGTTGTAAGACTTATATTTGTTTTTTTCTATATGTAATACCTTGGTTATGATAAGGGAAAAGACATAACCTTTCTCTTTGTTTGCTGAATCATTCGAAATATAGATTACTTTGATTTCTACATTAACGAGCCCTTTGGCGCACTTTTTCTCCCTTCCCAGCTCAGCTAGTTCTACAGTTTATAAAAGTAAACGACCTGTAAACCGCTAAACTAAGCCAATATTGCCCATGTGCAAAGTTTCTTTGCTCAAAGTCCACGTTTGAGAGGCCAGTGTTTTTTTTTTTTAATAAATTTCTACAAATTAACTTACAGTCCCTCTTCCGTGTAAAATATAACTGATGTGAGTAAACTGTGGGTAAAGTAATTCAATTTTTTCCTTAATACTAAACCTCTGACCAAAATTGGACCTTACGTAACTTAAACCAGTTATAGGTCATAGGTCAGGTTTTGATAATAAAGATGCACATCACATCATATTCTCAATTCCATGTAAGTTCATGCCCATGGTTGACCCTTAATCTAAGCTATCTAAACTGTTTCAACGGGCGCAATATCTCTCCTAGAGATAATCAAATGACAGTCAACGCCTTGATTCTATTACGTCTTATCTATAGAATGCATGTATTTTCTACTAAGAGCATCCACTCCCAAAATAAACCATAAATAATAATAACAAACAAAAGAAAAAAAATAAGAGAAGGAGAGAAAGAAAGAGAGAGAAAGAAAGACCTTAGTGGTCTGCAGAAATTTACCCTGAATTATCACCAGCAGTACACACCACGACGCCGCCTGCCAGAATCCCATCGTACCGCAGTCCCTGGCACAAGTAATCTCCTCGTGTGAAGATCGCAGCTCAAATGGCTCACACAGTCGCTTGTGATGCAACATTAGTGTGAGAAAAGAAATTACCTTAAGCTTAGGTCGCGCTGGAGGACACGTTTTAAGGTCTTTGTCGTTAACAGACACGTTTTGAGGTGTTTTTCGTTTACATTTATCACGGAGTTCGCCGCAAAATTTTCCATCTTTTTAATATATTAACCTCGGATCACCTTCATTACTTCACTGAAATCTGAATTTTGACATTCTGATGTGTTTTTAAACTGTTTAATATCAACCATGTCACATAAACGGAAAAAAGGGGGCGTTTCGTTTCAAAATTGAGCAAATTATGTCACCGATAACCACATTGTTTGATTTATATGCGCCATGTCGTAGGCCTACATCATCAAAATTCAAGATCACAACAATTAATTTTTGATAAGACCAGCAACATGGAAAATGTCATGAAAACGCAGTTCTGTTCCATCTTTTGAATTTCAAGTGAGGTCAAATTTACATTGCAGATAAAGGGGAAAACTATGGAAAATGCGGTCAGAATCCGTTCCATGGAGAGTTTTGCACCATGTTTTGATATTCTAAAATTTAGAATATTTTGCATATTACAAATGCGTGCTGATTCTACTGTGAGACATGTCTACATGTACCACCGTAGTACGTAACATTGTATTCCATTGTATTCTTTTACCTAAACAGAATGGCTTCCATTGTTGTCTTTTACCTATACAGAATGTCGCCAGTATGCTGTATATGTACACACAATGGACAATAGAAGTGTCACCCCCTGAATTAGAGTAATCAAAGTTGGTTGATCTTGAGTAGTTACATGTATAATGCCTGGTCTACTTATAATGTGACTAATGAGTATAAAACCGTTGTACCATGGAAATGTATTGTTGGTCTTTTTGTGAAATTTGATGTTAATAAAATGATACCAGGAGCATATCATTCCACAGTCATTTATCTTCCCCAAAGTATTGGTTCAGTAGGGGTGACACTTCTATTGTCCAGTGTGTGTATTTTGATTAGTTTGCTATGATAATTGTTCAGAACATTATTTGCCTATAATTCTTGGGAATAAAAGACAAAGTGTAAGCCAACTAATTAGCAAAACAACTAACTAACTTAGTAACTAACTAGGTTTCTATACACTGACCTAACGCGAATAAAATATCGAATTCTTTTTGGCACGGGAGAATTATGTCAACTGTCGTCAAAGGGATGATGTTTCTGAGCTGGCCGGGCAGCCATGGCGTGTCACCCTCAATTACAAAGTCATTTACTTCTGAGCCCATTATGTGTGTCGGGGTATTCTTTATAATCTTAGTCATTGAGGTCTTTCATCTGGCGGCTATCAAGTCTAATATCTAATAATGCAAATAAAATCAAGTTGATCATTTTTTGACTGTTCAAGTAATAGATTTCGCCTCTGGTCCACTGTCAGGCGATGGTATT